CAACCATCGGCTCTCGTGGAAGCAACCATCGGCTCTCGTGGAAGCAAACATCGACTCTCGTGGAAGTAACCATCGGCTCTCGTGGAAGCAACCATCGGCTTGCGTTGAAGTAACCATCGACTCTTGTGGAAGCAACCATTGGCTCTCATGGAAGTAATCATCGGCTTGTGTGGAAGCCATCATCGACTACGGCTGGGCCATATATCGTTCACGATAATACCGGTAAAAAAAGCTTGCCCGGGAAAATAAATGATATCACGATATGCTAATTTCATGACGTAATACGTCAAGCGCCCCACCCCGTTAACAGAACCGAGCACGCCGAACGACCAAACCAAACTGCACAACCCCCCTCCACCTGTCGGTACTGGTGTAATGCTAATTAGTTGTGCGCGATACTAGCTAGCTGAAATGCTAAAAACAAACAACGTGCGGCTCAGCTCTCTCCACCCAGCTCTAAACTGCGGGTACAGACAGTGACAGCTCAACTGTCTCTCCCTCTCCCCACCCCGCTCTAAGCTGCCAGTACAAACGCAGTCTTTTTTCTCTCCCCCCACCCCGCTCTGAGCTGCTTTCACCTGCAATTTTAATTTTTGTGGTGGATTTTGTTGCTCTATATTTTGCACAGACTTTTTCAATCTAAATAACAGAAGGATCATTTTTATTTTTATACTTGGACTGAATACTTTACTAAATAAATTTCAATAAAATTACCCCTTGTTTTTTGAGTTTTTATATAATACTGCAAAGTAACATAAGTTAATTTTGTCAAATGAATAACTATGATTTCTGTTTTTTTATTTTATTTTGATATATCACGAAATTTATCGTTATTGCTAGAATGCTCTGAAATATCACAATATTATATTTGAGCTATATCGCCCACCCCTACCATCAACCCGCGTTGAAGCAACCATAGGCATGTGTGGAAATGACTAATAACTGAAATAACAATTTAATGCCGATTTCCCTACAATGTAAAATGGTTTATAAAATGTTGCTCACATGAATTCTTATGAAATAGTAGATATTAGTGTTATTTTAGGTAGGCAGAAATTCCCATTGGAAGTAAATTCAGTCAGACAAAATGTTAGCTAGATTCCTTTTTGTAACGACTTTTCTCAGATTTAACAAAATGACACTGTTCAAATGGCTGTATACTGCAGGTAGAATACTGACTCTTGATACCAACTCCACAACTTCTTTACCTATTTGTCACAGAAAAAAATATTTTCTCTCAATAATATACCTGGAATTGTCTGACAGTCGTAAGTAACAGCGTACAACGTGCTTCAGAAGACGGGCAGAAGGCTCTTTGGAAAGCTGGAGGACCATTTTACCCTGAAGCACACAAAAAAAGAAGAAAGAAACATGAGACCTGACGGGGAAAAAGCCCTGCACACAATCAATATGATGAAATGAGTTTAGCCAACTTACCAGAATCATAGCAACATGTGAGAAGCGCTCATATGTTTGGCAAATGTATGCTAGCCCTGTGTCATCCAGAAGAATCTTCTGAAGGATGAAAGTGGCAACCTGGAAAACAAGAAGGTTTGTCTACTGATTTACAAGCTCCATTTAATTAACCCAAAACAGGGAGAACAATGTTTCCAAGGAAACGTGTGAGATTGAAACAGAACGGTAAAAAGAAAGTACCGTTTTGGAAAGTTCACTCCCAGACTCCATAATGCGAAGGCATAAAGGAATAATCTCTGTGGTCAGAAGGAAGTTGATCACTTCTTGTTCATCAGTTTTTACTAGAGCACCTACAGAGGAACGACAAACAAAACGCAGTTCATCAAAGACATCATTCCTTATTCATTAAAAGTTCAAGTTAAAAATCCTTTTCAGACACAACATTTCTTACCAATAACTCCCAGGCTTGTGAGTCGGAGGTATTCAAATGGTCTCGTTTTGCTCACTGTGTGTAAAAATGGGTAGAGGAAGAGTGGGATATGTGCAGCCAGGAAAGCAGATCTGTGAAGGACAGAACTATACGGTAAAAAAATGTGCTGCCAAACACAGAAGCAGATCCTCAACAGAACAACAACAAATGGAAAGAAATCAAGGTGTTGCAATAGTCCGGTCAAAGTCAGTGATGCTTCTTGTAAAAGTTATTGGAGGGTGGGGGTTCCATTTGTCCCATCCATGTTAGAAAGGCAGAATGCAGAGTTAGTCTCTTAACCAGGAAAAACTTATGAGATTAAAAACAGGTTCACCATTTCCTGTTTGAAACAATGGGGGGTGGGGGGGTCAGCAGTACAGCACTGGACTGGTTTAGGTCCCACTTAGCTGAGAGTTCTTTCTGCATCTGCCTTAGCGACAATGTGTCCTCCTCTGCTCCTCTTTTGTGTGGGGTTCCGCAGGGCTCAATTTTAGGCCCCCTCCTCTTCACGCTGTACCTGCTCCCTCTTGACTCTGTTTTTTTTTTAAAAACATGGGATCTCCTTTCATTGTTACGCGGATGATACACAGATATATGTCCCGTAAAAAAAAAAAAGGGACTAACTCCCTGGGCCCTCTGTTTTCATGTCTGGAGGCCATAAAAGCCTGCATGGCTGTGAACTTTGTAAAGCTCAATAATAATAATAATGTGTATGTATTGTCATCATAGTATGGCAAAATTGGCTCTCTGCATTTAACCCATCCACCATCAGGTGGAGCAGTGGGCAGCTATTGAAAGCGTGCGGGGAACAACTGGGGATGAGGTGTCCTGCTCAGAGACGCCACGAGACGTGCAATGACTGGAGATCGAAGCCAGGACTTTCGGGTCCCGAGTCGGCTGCCCTGCCTCTACACCATCTCGGCCCCCTTCAATGAGGAAAAGGCTGAGGTGATGGTCTTTGGAAGCTCCACTGAGACTCCCAATGTAGATGTTGGTTCCTTGGCCCAGTATATCAGGCCAACTATTACAAACATAGGGGTCAAAGTCGATGCTGGACTAAAGTGAGAAAATCACATCAGAGCAGTTGTTAAATCTAGTTTTTTTTTTCCATTTGAGGCAGCTGGCTAAAGTAAAGCCGATTCTTTCTCGGTGGCATTTCAAAACAGTAATCCATGCCTTTGTGACCACTAGGTTGGATTACTGTAACGCACTCTATACAGGAATCAGTGACTCGTGTATCAGCTTCAGAGGGTACAGAACGCTCCTGCACGGCTTTTAACTGGCACACGAAAGTTTGACCACATTTCTCCTGTTTTAGCCTCCCTGCACTGGCTGCCCGTACATTTTAGGATTCATTTTTAAATTATTTTATTTGCTTTTAAAGCTCTGAATGGACTTGCCCCACCCTATCTGTCCAAGTTGCTACATCCTTACACACACTTGCAATACCTCAGGTCACGTGATCAGCTGCTCCTGAGTGTGCCGAAGACAAAGCGTAAGCTCAGAGGAGACCGTGCTTTTGCAGCTCCTAAACGACGGAACGACCTTCAATGAACATCAGGCTCTTCCTTGCCTGTTTTTAAATCCCTTCTTAAAACCATGTCTGCTCCCTGGCCTTAGACACCATCTGTAACGTTGACTTTTAATTATTTCATTCGTTCTTTATTGTCCGATTGTATGTTTGTTTGATTATGTGTTCAGCACTTCGGTCCTGTGGGTGTTTAAAGTGCTCTATAAATAAAGCTGGTCGCAGTTCATTTTTTGTACATTACCTCGTCTCTGGATGGGAGGCTACACACTGAAGAAGAGCAAGCGCATTACAGACTCTGTTGGACTGGTGTGCTGTCAGCGTGGGGGGGTTGATCGATGGATAGATGTTGACAATTTCCTAAAAAACAAACAAATATATTTGCAAATAATCTCTAACAAAGAATCAGCCTGAAAAGAAGCTGCGTGTCCTGGTCAAAGAAAGAAGGCACACGCATGTACAGTCCTGTAGAGACGGCAGCATACACAAGTACAATGTAAAAGCAGCTGGTCAGAACAGAACCAAGGAGGACACTGGGATCTCAGGGACATGCGGAGGCACATTTGATGGGTAGTCAAGCCCAGATTAGAGGTTGATGCAGGCAGCGGGGTGACCCACATCAAAAGGGCAATTGTCTATCAGACGACGAGGTGCATTTCCTTGGTAGTGAGTAAGATGCACTAAGTGGCTGTATTATGTATGTCACCTTACCATCATAGTTCATCTAAATGTTACTCACTACTGGTGCAATAACCTGTCACACCACCTGTGTAATATAATGTATATCATGTGTGAAATACTTATTTAGAGTAATTAATCCTACTTGCATCGTTACATTCTATCCTGTTGCTTACTATATTTGTTTTGGACCTTGTGAATATCCATGCATCCAACCATTATGTTTGTAGCCGCTTCTTCCTTTTCGGGTTACGAGGGGGTCTCTGGTGCCCATATCCAGCAGCCAGTCACTGTGCAAGAGGTGGGGGGGGGGGACACCCTGGACAGGTCGCAAGTCCATCACAGGGCACCTTGTGAATATTATATTATGATTTCTTTTGCACTTTTGGTACTTGCATGCTTTAGTATTTCTTGTTTTTCGTAGCAGTTCGAATCAGTTCTTCTCATCCTGAACTAGGGACAACTCACCGATATAAAAGGCTTCTGTTTTAAGTTACTTTCAGCCCAGAAACCTGGCTGATCTAGAGAAGATCTGTGTGGAGGAATGGGCCAAAATCTCTGCTGCAGTGAGTGTGCACACCTGGTGACAAACTACAGGAAACCTTTGACCTCTGTAACTGCAAACAAAGGCTACCGTACCAAATATTAACATTGATTTTCACAGGTGTTCAAATACTTACTTTTCTCACTGTATACACACACACCCAATACACCCCACCCCCTGTAAAGATATATTGGTGTTTACATGTTCATCAATATTCTAGAATTCTAGAATTCCCTAGAATATTCTAGGTTCTAGAATTGCGCCGCTCAAGGTGGCTGCATGTTGGAGCAGCTCTGTTACATTCATTCTGATTTATTGCTTTTGAAAACTTTAATTCCTCTTTATTCTGGACGTATATCGCTTTTTTATGATGATGATTTACTCTGGTATCGGACGCTGTGCAGCTGGAAGGATTTTTTATTGAAACCTTTTTACTTTTGGACATTTGTTATGATGCATAACCATGGCAACAAGGTGTTTTTTAACAACAAGGAGCAGCTGCTTAACATCTCAAAAGCTCAAATATCTCATCTACAGCCCCAAATCCCACATGAATTGAAAAGGAGGTGCCGTGGACAAATTCCCATCAACCTGGCAGCGGTGCTCGAGTACCGGACCACAGAGATCCTGGAGCTGGTGAGAAACTCGGCTCGTGAGGAGCTCTACAGACTGCTACGAGGAGTGATCATCACTCAGGGAGGAATTCTGTCAGGCATTCGGGCAATCCTGCTGCCCAGGAGGCCCGCCGGATCTGACAGCAAGCTGGATCTGGGTGGACGGATCGGTATCTGTAGCCAGATTCTTCGGCTTCACTGCAGGAGATCCTTCCTGCCCACAGCTATCGGCATCTACAACAACAACTCTTGAATGAAACCAGGATGATGAGCTACGACAACACTTAATTTCCCTCTAGGATTAATAAAGTATTTTTGAATTTGAAATAAACACCAATATATCTTTACATGGGGTGGGGAGTATTGGGGTTGTGTGTGTGTGTGTGTGTATATATATATATATATATATATATATATACTGTATACACACACACACACATATACTGTATGTGTGTATGAGTGTGTTCAAACAGTAAATATAACAATATATTGATTGGGCGGGTTTTTTGTGTGATGGGGACGGTTTTTAACTGACTTTTGAGCTGGAAAACCTCGACTCTATCTGGCAACACAGAGTCCATCTCACCTGCAGCAGGGCCGCTATGGTCCCGCAGGAGTGCCAGAGCATCGGAGCCAGGTCTGGTACGGACTCCCTCTTCTTGCTGAGCTCCAGCAGCGCGTTCTCCCTGGTCTCTGGGCTGGAGAGCTCATTGATCCACAGGTAGATCTTTTCTCTATCCACTTGTGCGAGGGCCGTCGTCACAGCCTGAGTAAAGAGGAAACATAGCAGCGCATCAGCCTTACCAAAACACGGTCCATAACAAAAAATATTAATATTTCTTAATAAATTAGTGCATTTCTTGTCAATGCCTGAAGTGTCTTTATATCATTAAGGCGACGAAGCTGTGAAAACTGCTGCAGACGAGTGAAATATAAATATTAACTTAACGCTCCACTGAAAACCACAAAACATTAACAATTAGCATATTAGCTTAGCCTGTTAGCTCGTTTGAAGGTTTGCGTTTGTACTTACCGCTCCTGTAGCCAACATGCTAACAAGCGATGCAGTTGATCCAGCAATATCTTTAAAACTTAATGCTGCAAATGTTTAGACTTTTTTTTGGAAGCAAAGAACATACTACATTGCTGAGACCCCGAACCTCTGCTACATAGCGGTTAGCACTTGGTAAACCGGAAAAGCTAAGCACATCCGGGTGTTTCCTTTCAAATTAAAAGAACGCATGCGGGACGTCCACACGGCCGCCATTTTGGAAAGGGAAAAAGTGGCCTTTAAAACTGTCGAAGGGAAGAAGTAAAAAAAAAAATATATATATATATTAAGATTTTCCAAATAGTGATTTCAGATAAAATATGTATTTTGTTTGGAATGCATTGCTCTAGTTGTTTTGCAGTAAAATAATGTATCGTTGTATTTCCCTGCTTCCTTGTTTAATTAATGCTTTTCTTTTCCCCCCCACACAACACAAAACTGATTTGAATCAATTTTGTGTTGTGTGTTTCCTTGACTGATGAAGCCTTCTGGATCGAAGGTGAAACGTTTCAGCACAAAAAAAAGAAGAAACTGTCCGGATGACCTGATTGAAAAATGTTGGATTGTATACCTGGATTATTGAGCACGGACTTTGTTGTTTTCAACCAGTTTGACAAGACTGTCAACAAGGAAGAGGGCCGGCAATGGAGGAGGGGGCGTAACAAAGAGACCATCTTATCACAAGCAGAACTGGTTTGTTCCACTTTGGAGTAAGCTGTTGGTGGAAGAATCAGTTTTGTTGTGCGTTTCCTTGACTGATGAAGCCTTCTGGATTGAAGGTGAAACGTTTCAGCACAAAAAGAAGGAAACTGTCCAGATGACTTGACTGAAAAATGTTGGATTGTTGTTACTCATCATCTTGGTTTCATTGAAGAGTTGTTCTAGATCAGGGGTCTGCAACCTTTACGATCAAAAGAGCCATTTCTGCTCCTTTGTTCACTAAATTAAACGTGTCCGGAGCCACAACACCTGGTACAGCTGTGATTCTCAACTGGTGTGTCCACACAGTGTTGGAGGACAATTTTCAGACCAGTAGGGTAGTTGGGTAGGGTAATGCTCTGGACATTGTAAAGCTAAAAATATTTAATATATGCTTTGTTGATATTTCTTACATTTTAAGACAAAAAAAAGACTAGATTCTTGTAAAGAAGGAAAAATAATATGTTCTTCCCCATTAATAAATAAAAAAATATAACAACTATGCAGGGCTAGGTAAATTATTTTAATTGTGGAAAACCCAACTTCGAATAAATAATGTTAAATAATGTTTTACTCCTATTGGTTCTAGTATTCACATATTCGCAAAGGAAATGACAGAGAAACTGCGAAAACCAGCCCTTTAAGTTGTTATAAGAACCAATAAAATTCAGTTTAAAGTGAGTTTAGATCAACGCTCGAAAGAACCGCTGCAGAGGGTCCAAAGAACCGCATGTGGCTCCAGAGCCGCAGGTTGCAGACCCCCTGTTCTAGATGCTGATGGCTGTGGGCAGGAAGGATCTCTTGTAAGCCTGACTGAAGACACTGTTAGTCTGATGAAGAGGATGCTGAGAGTTGTTCTTCATTTTATGAAGAAAATAGGATAAATAGTTTTCCTAAAATATTAAGAGGGGCAATATTATCTAACAGTATAATTAACAATATCTTAAAACCGCTAAGTTGTTTATTATTATTATTATTATTATTATTTTAAAAGCCGTAATCATTTTTTTTTAAGTCACATACCACGTGACATAACACGGCTGGTAAAGGAAATAGCGCCCCCTTCAGTTTCGGAGTCCCATTTCCAAATATGGTATGGGACAGACACTGGTCGGTCCACGCCCCCTTTCTGTTTCCGGAGTCCCATTTCCAAATATGGTATGGGACTGACACGGTCTGTCCCCGCCCCTTTCTGTTTGCTGCTGCGAGGTGTTCTTGGTTTCAGGGTTCAGACGTGAAGTGGAGTCGGCTTCTTCAACACTGAGGACTGTCTTAAACAGTAAGTTTAGCTTCTTTGTATTTCACTTTAAGAAGTTCACTGTTTCTGCTATTTAAAATGTTTTAGTTCTTTTTGGTAGGATGTTATTGAACTGCTATTTTCTTGTTTTCAGTAGGTTTAAAACATACAATATAGTCGGTGCATATGAATGTATAAAGCAATACCTCAGGTGTTCACTTCATTCCTGTGTTTTAAGAATAATTTCCAAAGAGGGAATCATTTTATGTTGAGAAATGATGGGGTTATTATTTCCACTTGGGTCAAACCTTGTAAAATAATTGGCAATGTTTTGCATGATCTATTAGCACTAGCTCTATTAGCTGTGGTGGCCATCTTTAATTGGGATGACTCCAGACATTAAACAATAATAGATGTGCATCCAGTGATGACTTTCTGAGAGTTTTATTGAAATTTATCAAGCGGTTCATGAGATATTTTTCTAACAGACAAAAAAGGATTGATATCAACAGTTGTCCGATTTGTAGGTAAAATGTGTAGTTTGGAGTATGTGTTGAGGATCATGTTCAGCTACTGCAACACAAAAGTTGAGCTCAATATCTGATAAACTGACTGATATATAGCAATAATAAGGTCAGTTAGTTGTGGCAGCCATCTTGGTTTGGGTTGACTCCAAAATTTCATCAGCTGCAAATATGCACCTGCTGATTGTTTTATTTTATTTTTTTTTAAGATTTAATAAAATCCAATCAATAATGAAATATTTTAACAAAATTACAACATTGACTCTAATAGTTAATGGCAAAGGTTTGAAAACAGATCTCACTCCCATCCGTTAGCACTTACAATTTGTGTTGAGGATCAGTCTCGGCTACTACCACACCATATTTGTACTTGGCATATGTAAAATTGGCTCGGTTAGCCATTTTTGTGTTTACCAAGGTTGCTTAGCGATGACTGCCATGTTGAATGGGATTGACTCCACAAGTTATTCAGTTTTAGATGTTATAAATAGAAACTGTACCATATTTAGGAAAATCTTTTTATTTTTTATTTCTGATGGCAACAACACATTTGAAAAACATTTGGAATGGGCAACTTATGGACCATTCAAGGCTGTTTCTTAACATTTTGCAACCAGAGCTTAATTTGAGCCAGACCCTGCCGGAACAAGATCTCTCTTATTTTGACCGGGTGCGCTCCACTAAGGATCCGTTAACTCTCAGCCTTACTAATAATAAAGTTATGAATAATTTTGACTGCCTTGAACAAATAAAACCTATATTAGATATGTAATCTGAAAATAATTACATAAACACTAATTTTAAACATAATAGCCACTTACAAGCTTCCTAATATCACATACGAGCTGCCCCTTCAATTAAGCATTTCTGCTTGCACTCTTAAAAAAAAAGCTCCGCCCCTAAAAGTACAGTCATGGGCAATTTAATTAAAAACACAAAAATATAATTAAACAGCACAACTAAATTGCAGATCAGTTTTACAGTTTAAGTGGGTGTCACGTATCAAAACAACGGCGCCACTTTGTCAAAATAACAGCAATCAAAATGTCAAAGACAGTCCAATTTACTTTCATTAAAATAAAAAATGTCTTCTCATGGTACAACTAAACAAACTGATTATTGAAGCACATGAGTGGGGTAGGATGCTTGAGAGAAGCGGAATGTGCTCTATTCACACAAGGAGAGCTGTTGGTCAGGCTACTTCTTGTTGCTCTCTAAAATAGTTCTTGAATCAAGTATTTACAAATGTAGGTAAACGGATGTTTAACGACTCATTAAAATACACCAGAATGCAGGAAATAGCATCTACTTTATGCAAATTTTGGGCATTGTTTGGTTTACAAATTAAGCATCATTGAATCTCACAGAAGAGCTCATAAACTCATGAAAAGAGTTGAAGAATCTAGAGAAATCTCTGAGCTCAAAGGACAAAACCCAAAGTGAACACTGGTTGTCTGTGTTCTTCAGGTCCGCAGAGGCCACTGCATTAAGAAACGGTCGGATTCTGTTTTGGACATCACTGTGTGGACTTAGAAACACCTCCACAAACTATTGTCTGCAAACGCAGTCCACTGTGTCTTCCACATATGCTGATTTTATATTTTGATAAAACAATGTACAACACTTCATACTAAAAAGGAGAGGGTTATTAGCACAAAGTTCAACAACCTACCTCTCTCACGGTATGGGGGTGCGTTAGTGCCTTTGACATGAGAAGCTTACACAAAGGAACCATCACTGCGCAAACATTTATGGGGTACAAACAACATCCACTCCAATCCAAGGTGATATTAAAACTTATAATCCATCTTTTACACCATTATGGCTTCATAGTACTGTGCAAGAGTCCGGTTTCTGAACTGACCTGGTTGCAGTCCAGACACTTTGCGCATCATGATGTGAAAAATCTGGCAAAGTAGACTCAGGACCATTGAATAGTTGGGACATGAACCTGGAACAACCTTTTGAGATGCCTTGCTGCCATCATATTAAAAATTGCCTTTTATTTCCTAAAAATATTACAGTTCTTAGTTAAAATGTTGTATTTGTTTACCGTGTTGCATTGTGAAAGACATATACATATATAAGGTTTGAAACTCCGTGCATTCTGCTTTTTATTTGCAATTTATACAACGTCTAAACCTTTGGACTCGGTGTCAGTAACCGATTGTCATGTCAGACAGTCCTGATACCAAACTTTACTAGATGACAATAAGGTGTGGTATGGAACTTTGTCCCAGTGGACTGTGAAAAGCTGACACAGTTTGTCAGAGAACTGCGCAGGGCTGAATGCCATGTTGTGATAGGCTTGCATAATAATCTGTTGAGTTTAGACACCTGTCTCTCAACACTTACTGTGGGGCAGATCATTGATCATCAGATAAACATGACCACACCCTACGCTCTCTGACGGCTCTAAAAGCTGCCTGACCTGCCTGTCTTCATGCTTGAGAGTAAAAATAAAACTCTGGATTTCCCCCGTAGATTCCAGGATGATGAAACTTTACAGCTTCTTGTTTTTGGTTTCAGTGCTGTCCTCAAAAACACCCACATGACAAGCTCCTGTAATACATGTACATGGAAAAACTGTTCTTTTAGCTTTTCCCTTTTTCAGGGTTCACAGTGAGTCATCCATCCTCGTCCATCTCACTCCGTCCTCTACATCCTCTGTCCTCCAACTACCTCCATGTCATCTCTAACTGCATCCATATTTCTCCTCTTTGTCTTTTTTCTGGCATTTTCCTTCTGCCAATATACCCACTGTCCCTCTTCTGGACATGTCCAAACCATCTCAGTCTGGCCTCTCTAACTTTATCTCCCAGTTGTTCAACCTGTGCTGTACCTCTGATGATCTCATTCCTAATCTTATCCATCCTTGTCACTCCTAAGGAGAACCTCAACATCTTTCTCCTGTCTTTTTTTCTCCAGACCATACATCATAGCTGGCTTCACCACTGTCTTGTAAACTTTTCCTTTGACCATTGCTGCCATGCGTTTGTCACAAATCACTCCTGAAACTTTCCTCCATCCACTCCATCCTGCCTGGACTCTCTTCTTGACCTCTATACCACACTCCCCATTTTCCTGGATAGTGGAACCCAAGTACTTGAAGTCCTGCACCTTTGTGACCTCTGCTCCTTGGAGCCTCTGTTCCACCAGCCTCCCTCTCATTCACACACATGCACTCTGTCTTACTATGGATGACTTTCATTCCTCTTCTTTCAAGTGCATACCTCCACTTCTCCAAGTTCTCTTCCACCTGTTCCCTGTTCTCACCACAGATCACAATGTCATCTGCAAACATCATAGTCCATGATGATTCCTGCCTGACCTCATCTGTTAGTCGGTCCATCACCAGAGCAAACAAGAAGGGGCTCAGAGCGGATCCTTGATGCACTCCCACCTCCACCTTGAAGCTATCTGTCACTCCTAAAGCACATCTCACCACTGTCCTCATACATGTCCTGTACCAGTCTAACGTACTTCTCTGCCACTCCAGATCTCCTCATGCAATACCACACCTCCCCTCTCAGCACCCTGTCATATGCTTTTTCTAAGTCTGCAAAGACACGGAGTTCTTTCTGACCCTCTCTGTACTTATACCATCTATCTATTCATTATCTTTACCCTCTTCTTCCTAAATCTGTTATTTTTAAATTTGCTCTATTGGTAAATAATTGTGCAAAAGGTTTTTAAAAAGCCATTAAATTCAATGATAATTTTTAAAACACATTTTAAACAGTTTGATATTGGCCCCGAACCAACATTATGCAGTTTAATATTTTACCACCAGAGGTCGCCAAGCTCACCAACTTTTTACTTTCAAAAAATCTGACAAAAAAAAATAAAATAAAATTGTGTTTTCTGGTCTAATGAGTGTTTTTTGTAATTTTTCATTTAATCTTTTTTGTTGTTGTCAGGTATTTCACAGAATGTTGAGACCGTAAAAAGCAGCTATGAGTCTACCAGCTGTATGTAAAGGAAGACTTTCTTTGAAGAACACGTAAGTTCACGTGATGTTGCTTAATGATCAGTATTATTAACCTGAACCTGCCATTTATAATTCATACAACAACTGAGGAAGTATTCAGATAAATTACATCAAAGTACAACACGTATAAATACTTTATATTTGTGTTCAAAGCTAATTTTGGCAATAAATATTAGATCATACCTGATGAATACCTAATAACTGATTCCTCAGATTTTAAAGGTCAACTTTTAAAGGGATGTTCTGCCTAATATTTATCAATAGTTAGTACTTTATTTGAGGTGATATCCATGGGCGCTATCAGAGGGGGGTCAGGGGGCAATGGACACCCCTGTGCTGGCCTCCGTAACTACAATCATACAGGTTTATCCTGCTGAATTTTTGCTTGGTGTACATTTTTTCCCTTTACTCATTTTGGACTAGCAAAATCTCAAACATAAAAACACACATTTTGAAATTAGGAGGTTAAACTTGCCACTTTTTGTCTTTTTCCAGGCTTATCAAACACTAAGTGCCAGTATTTAAGAATGCTACTTTTTTTTATTTACTTCTTTATTTTGTTTTCTTATTTTACACTTTTTTTCATCAAACTCAAAAGTTTTCTTCTTGTCTCTTTCAGGATCCATGCATTTGAACCAGAACCTGACTCCGAATCCAACTTTCAGTTTGAACCTAGCTGTTTGTCCTTTAGGAGCAATGAGTCAAAGGCTGAACCCATCCTGTTCACTGGAGGACTCTGCGCTTTAAAAACGAGTTTACGCCATCAGTCAGACATCTTTAATTTGAGGTATTTCAAAGTGAATATAAAATTTCTGTTCTGATCAGACTCATAAAACCCTAATAAGAAGCGAGTGAATGAAAAATGGGCTGAATTAATTAAAGTGAATGAAGAAATCAGCCTTTTTGCAGAAAACGCAGCGCGAATGCTGAGTGCTAAATTATTTAGCTGAAATATGTTTAAAAAATTGAAACTGAATTGCTAAAGTTAAAACCAGCAGAACAGGAGCTAAATTGAGTAAAATTGTAGCTGAAAGCTAATATCAGCTAAAACCATAGCTTAAAGCCAAAGTGACAAAACTGCAGCTAAACGATACAGTTAGCAAAATAAAAGCTTACAGCTCAACTTATCAAAACAGTAGCTAAAACTTAGCAAAACAGTGACTTAAAGCAACATTTTGCAAAACAGAGCCAACAAGATAAAAAATAGTTAGTGTAGCTAAAAGATGAATTTTGCTACATTGTAGCTTAAAGCTAAAATTAGCTAAACTGTAGCAAATAGCAAAAAAATAGCAAAACAGAAGTTAAATTCTAAACTGAAGCAAATATGCTAAAGTTTATTTCAAAACAATTTTTTACCAAATTAAAAAAACTTTTTAATGTATTTGTACGAGGTAAAATATGAATAAAGTTCAATAAAAAAAGTAACGGTTACACTTAAAATTAATGCCCTAATGCATATGTGTCAAACTCAAGGCCCGGGGGCCAAAGGTGGCCCTCGTTGACATCTCATCTGGCCCCCAAGATGATATGTGAAACGTAAAATATTTCTCTCTCTTTAATTTTTTCTAGTAATCTTTGATTATGATGTCATAAACACAAGAAAGAACATCAAATGAGACCAATCAAACACTTGTTGAGGAACTTGTGACCAAGAAAAGACGTTGGGTATCTGATTTGAGTTATTGTAGATTCTGAAATTGGCCCTTAATTTGAAAAAGGTTTTAATTTTGGCCCCCTTTTGTAAGTGAGTTTGACACCCCTGCCCTAATGTCTTAAACGAGCTGAACGTTTTGATATACGAATGGTTAAAATAGCTGAAAGTATGCAAAAATATATTTTTTGGAAAACCGTAAACAGGAACCCACAGCTTTACACAGCGAATTGTCTGTAGCTGTGTATTTTTGTTGGTATCACTCCTTCACACCAGAGGGCGCTATTGACTGTAAGGCAGTAATTGGAAGTGGAGTACAAAATCTTAGAAATGAGCAGATTATTTATTTATATTATTATATTATTATATTATTATATATTTTTTTTCATTTACCCTTTATTTATACAGGTAGTCCCATTGAGCCACGAGAACTAATTTTCAAGAGAGACCTGTTTAGGGAGCAGATGGGTGTTAAGGGCCTTGCTCATGGGCCCAGAGTGGGGCGAATGAGGGTGGGTGCTTCACCTACCCCACCTACATTTTTTGATGTTGTCGGTACAGGGGCTTGAACCGGCGATCTTCCGATCACAGGCCCACCTTCTCTAACCTCTGCGCCACCACTCCCCTATTAATCTTCAGCCAACGATTAAGAGCATGTTAGGAATTTTTTGGCCTCCAAAACCCATGTTGTCACTTTTACCACTTTATTGTCTGTCCAAACAGATCTCACTTGTAAATGAGTCTTCAAAGCTCAATGTGATTTATCTGTTTAGATAAAGATTGAATGAATGAATGAAAGTAACCTCTGTGTGTACTCAACAAGACAAATGTGAAAGTCATGCTGGACCAGATATTGTACAAATGTACAACGTCTACATCGAACATTGGAGAAGCAGACATTTTGATAAGAACTGGGCTACTAGCATACGATATGCGTTGTTGCATTCCATTTACCTGGGAAGTTTAAACTCGGATCTGGGAATGGTGAAACACAACTTGATGCCATTTTCCATTTACCACAAAAGTCAGAATTTGGACCTTGGAATGACGTCGATTAACTATGTTCCAGTGGAAAATCAGAAAACTAGTAGAATTTGTTAATGGTTGTGCCCAGTGACCAGGCTGTTAAAAGTCAATAACGCAGAATGTCTTGGAGATATGACTATCATGAACGGTTCAAATCCGTTGTATGGCTCTTTAAAACGAACAGTGAGAACTGAGTTGCAGACAGTTGCGAACCATTCTTTTTTTGTTGTTCTTTCTGCTTGTGTTCCTCACAGATGCAGACACACACGCACACAATTCTTCTTTGCTATACCACTGAAACTAAGAAGATCAGGCAACGGGGAGGAGTTCAGCAGTTGTAATTGGTGAACATGCGCTCAGAAGGGGAGTGGTGCAGTCGCATTTGATAAGCATGCGTACAGTTGATCTTTCATCTGGGAACTTTCCAACTTCCAAATACAAATGAGTACCATCAAGACGGAACGTGAAAAGATAAATAACTATGAAGGGCTGAAAGAGGAAGAAGAGGAATTGTGGAAAGTTGAGACCTCAGTGGAGCTTGCCGCCATTGAAGAACTCGGAGCTGGAACTCCCAAACTGCAAGAGTAGACCCAGAAGATCCCTGGAATAACCTCTGACATTTCTATACAAAAGAAACAGATAGGTTATTGAATACAACTTTCAGGAAAGAGTAACCTATATCAACTCAGTCCATTCTAAGTTCTTTATTATTGCAGGTTGGGATAATATAGTGTATATAACATGGAGAGAGTAAAAAACAAACAAGGCCAGTAGGGGTCCACAACAGAACATCATTCAATAAGAAAATCTGTCTCTTTATTAGGATCTATGAAAGAACAGCATCTTATGGGCTGGAACCTCATTTCAAACCTAAATTCAGAGGTTTTCCCTTAAAGAACAACCAAATAGAGGCTGAACATCTTCAAGTGGAAGGATGCCATTCGTATCTGGACCTGAGGTCCAGCCATCCATCCATTTTCTTCCACTTGTTCCGACGTCGGGTCGCGGAGGCAGCATCTTGAGCAGGGAAGCCCAGACATCTCTTTCCATAGCCACCTCTTCCAGCTCTTCTGGGAGGATTCCAAGGCATTCCCAGGCCAACTGAGAGACATAGACTCTCCAGCGTGTCCTGGGTCTTCCCTGGGGTCTCCTCCCAGTGGATCCGAGGTGAGCTGCTGAAATGGTCAGTTTAAAGTTTTTTTTTTTTTTTTTGTAGGTACACAAGCAAGAAAGAATTAACATTTTTAATTCAGTTTATTTATATAGTGCCAATTCACAACAAAAGTCATCTCATGGTAAAAGTTCTCCATTTAAAGAAAGCCAGCAAATTGTGTTGAATCTTGACTTTGTTTTAATTCTCCTGCTTGAACAAACACATTAGCAAGAGTGGAAGGGAATGACGACCTTTTAACAGGGAGAACCCTATTGCATTAAAAACCCACCATCGTTCTTTACATTGTTTGAACTGGCATTTTGATATATTTAATAATTTTACCCAATCACATTTGAAGGTATTGTGATTTTTGAAGATTTTACCAAAGGATATTCAAATTGCATTGCGGTCAAGTCACATTTCAAATGTTTAAACTTACAAAAGGTAAACTCTTGTTACATTAAGTAATGTAACATTCTTTTACATCAGTATGTCATTTTTGAGAAAGATTTGCTTATAAGCCTGAAAAACCATTAACGATCTGAAACTAGCCTAGCCCTAAAAAAACTTCTACTTCTATATTGTATGCACTATGATTGATCATGACTGATAAGAAACTAACTGCTGATAAGTATTAGAACATAACTTTGAAAATAAATTGACTTTTTAGGAGTGCTATCAGGGTAGTGAGAGTCTAGGTTTTGTGGCAACTATGGCGACTAAAGAGCCACTTGTGGCAGCTTTACCATTTATTATGGTCTTGGTTCTCTGTTCAGTTTATTCATCAATTTTTTAGCATTTTTGTAGCTCAGATTATATCAAAATAAGAATGGTAAATGGACTGTACTTGTACAGAGCCTTTCTATATTATCAAGATACTCAAAAGTGCTTTACGCTACAATCTGTGCCCTTATTTACCCATTCATACAACACTTTACTATTTCTATACAAAGAATAATCAGTGCTTTATCACATTCATACACTGATGGGACACACATTGGAGGCAATGAGGGGTTTAGTGTCTTGCCCAGGGACACTCCGGCATGTGACTACTGGTGGAATCGAACCCACAACTCTTGCATTGGAGGATGAATGCTCTAACCACTCAGCCACAGTTGCCCCCAACTTACTACTGAGCTTTAGAAAAGAAAGTGAATGGATATTGGGCATAATGGATGGATGCTGGGAATTTGGGCAATAGGCACCCTTGAGAATTTCATTAGAAATTTTCCAGTTTCTAAAAATTCTGAACAGGTCTGGTTCACTTCCTTTAGTTTGTGTTTGTCTCGGTGTAGACATAGAATAGGAGCTAATTCTTCACGATTTCTCCACAGAGTGGACCAGCAGAGCTCAGAGTTTCCCAGTGCTCAGTCTGCCCAGCACCATCAAACACAGCTGGACTCCATATTTATGGTGCGTTCATGTATAACAAGTACTTTTCCATGTGTTGTGTTCACTGTCATCTCCATGCTGCACTTTGTAGACCAGAAGACTGTCAGTCTGTACAACATGTAGACCAGTTGATTGTCACTCTGTCCAACGTATAGACCAGTGGACTGTCACTCTGTCCAACATGTAGACCAGTGGACTGTCAGTCTGTCCAACATGTA